CCGGGGTACACCAATGGTAAAACACATTTAATGGTTTGGTATCTAATACAAAGCTGCATTCTTTTATGTATTTTACGTCTGTTCAGCTTTAAGCACATTGATGAATATTAGCCACGCCCCAAAATATCAATCAAGCTCTGGACAATGAGGAAGCAACAATACCCATCACTCTGCTCTCTCCATCTGTCAGCACATGTGCACTGCAGCAGATCCTGATTGGTCCCTAGTGTTGCTTCTCCCACTCTAAGTTTGGTGCCATGTCAGGAAGGACAACAGTAAGGAGCAGGAGACAGTGACACTATGGTAGTGGTATGAAGACAAGGGGTTGGGGCATTGATATGGCATGAAGTGACAACAGGGCGGAGTAGGGATGCGTGGCAGTGGGAGGGGCTGGGAAGCGATGGGACTCTGCATAGTGAGAGCACAGCAAGATACACAATGACAATTAGAAAAGATGGAGAAGAGGGCGTGGCACAATGACAATGGGAGGGGCTGGAAAGTGATTAGACGCTACATAGCATCAATCGCGGGGCTAGGAAGTGGTAGCATCCACTGTACAATAGGAAGAAGAAGGAGGTATGGCACAGGGACGATGGGCGGGGCAAAGAAACAACCCAATGACGGCAGTTTCTCCATCCTTCTCAATAGCGCTGTGTAATGCTGCGTCTGGCGCGGTGCATGCCGGGATTTGCAGTCCACTCCCCGCACAGAGCTGGGATGGAGCAGCCTAAAAGGACTACAATCCCATGATCCTCCTCTCCCCGGTGACGTGTACCGGCGGGCCCCTCCTCCTCCTGTGTGTGGCGGAGACAGCATCCTCTCACTGTCACTTTTCGGCTGAGCTACAGCCGGTGCGGTTCGATCATGACGGACACGGGCGTTGCGGATGACAGCTCGGGCAACCTAGAGGTGTCGGCGGTGCAGAATGTGGCGGACACCTCAGTGCTGCAGAAGCACATCAGGAAGCTGGTGCCGCTGCTGCTGGAAGATGGCGGGGAGGCCCCGGCCTCCCTCGAGTCGGCGCTGGAGGAGAAGAGCGCTCTGGAGCAGATGAGGAAGTTCTTGTCAGACCCGCAGGTGCACACCGTCCTGGTGGAGAGGAGCACGCTCAAAGGTGAGCCGCCCGCCGCCGGTGTTCTATGCTGTGTCATGGGTGTGGTGATCCCGGGGGGCACAGTGACACCTGCTGGAGGCATCGTGTACTGCGCCCCCATTGTGCATCGCTAAAGTACTCATTCTGTGCCACAGCGCCCTCTGCCGGTGGCCGCGTGTACTGCAGGGACCCCTCCTTGCTCCCAATAGTACTGCTGTGCTCCATTCTCTGACAGCTGCCATGTGCACCCCGATATTGAACTGCTGTTTTAAAGCCACTTCTGTGTTCTCCCTGTACCCCCTTCTTGTGTAATTGCATTGCTTATGCCTCTCTGACCCATTATTGATGAAGTTTAATCTGCGTATATATTTTGCCTTCCCTGGTTCCTCCCCCTTCCCCCTCATCATCCAGCTAGTGGCAATTTGTAATACCTTTCCATTTTTATTACATTTTATATTGGGTCCATTGATGTAATCACTGGGTCTTTGTGCAATGCAGGCAGATTTTGGCATGTGGGCGGGACCAGCAATGTGCTGTACTTAGCATCCTGAATATGTCACAGCACCCGGCCTCAGTACTCCTCTCTAGAGCCCTCATCCCTAATGCAAGCAGTGGGCCGGCTCTTGGGAGAAGTTATGCAAATATCAAAACGGCTTCCACGGTCAGTGTCGGTCTGGAGGAGTGGGTGTTCATAGGCAGGCATGCAGACCAGCCCTAGGTACAGCCCACATGTGATGCTGAACCTCCATGATGGAAAGGACTGCAATCCAATAAATGAAAGGGACGGGCCAGGGACAGTCAGGGTGGGAAACGACGAGCTAGATGATGCTGGATGCCCTCCAGCCAGGAAATAATTTCCCCATGGTGCTGCAGCTCACTATTGCTCTTGCGTTAGGGAAGCTCATTCGCTATGAATAGGCTGACGACCTATGATGATGCCTGAAAATCGGACCTAACCCAGGGGTTGGGCAACACCAGCTCTGCAGATGTGCTTGAACTACAACTCCCATCATGTCTCTGGGAGTCATGCCTGTGGCTCTCAGTCTTGCAATGCCCCATGGGACTTGTAGTTCCACCGCAGCTGGAGGGCCGGAGTTGCCCACCCCTGGTCTAATCTGTCACCAGCTGCTCTTTTTGTGCATCTTTTTAAAGGGACTATGTGCCAGCACGGGGCCACTTGTACCCGGAGCCCATCTGCTGACCGCCAGGGCAATAAAAACCTTTCTGGTGCCTTCTGGTTTGATATGCAACCAAGTGTCAGCGTCCCAGGAAGGGCTGGTATGAGGTAAATGAAAGGCCGGTGATTGGTGTGCAAGCCACTCTTTACTGACTGCTCACTTTTTTAATATTCATTGGAGGGTCATCACAGTTTGCTAGAGAATGTGGGAATTAGAAATTACCCCCCAAATTGGTCCCCTCCCCTCTACAGCGCCAGCCCCGCCCGCCTAACCCTCAAACCAGTAGTGATGCCTTTGAGGATCCGCCGTCATTGGGCTAATACGTTGCTGTAAATCATTCCTTTGAGGGATTTATATCTGGGAACCTCGGGGTGTCTCTCATCCCCGATGGCGTGTCACGGTCATCTTCTAAACGTCCTCCTTTTATTTCCTCATCGACACGGGATTGATTTGTTTCCCCTCAGCGGCGCGGCGTTGCAGCGTTCTCCTTCATGTTTTAGTTCTTTGTTGTTCGGGGTGTGTCGTGAGAATGCCGCATTGCAGAATTAAAGGAGACGTCGCCCCAAAACTTCACTCCCGGGAAAAGATCTCGCAGCTCCTCTCACATCCGCAGCTGTTTAAAGGGATTTTCCACTTCCAGCTGAAAAGTCAGATTCCAAGACCCGCAGACTCCGGCTTCAGTGTGTCGTCTTCTCAACCCCGAGCAACTGAGGCTAGGTTCACCCCCAGGTTCAGATGATGCCGAGCTTGTGCGTTTTAGATCGCGCGACTGTTCATTGCAAACCGCATGGTTCTCAATGCATAGAGATGTCTATGAGATCCAAACCGCGGGAACAACCGCCGGAAAATAGCGCCTGCACCTTTTCGCGCGACAAACCGCAAAGGTGTGAACAGCCTCCGTTGACTTCATGTGTTTTTGCGCGATAAATCGCCTAGCTGTGCACCGGCCCAAAGGGACCCAAACCGCCTGACCACCGCCTGAAAAATGGCTCCTGCACCTTTTCATGCGACAGACGATTTAGTCTGCGCGACAAACCGCAAAGGTGTGAATAGCCTCCATTGACCTAATGCGCACCTGTGTTTTGTGCGATTATCGCGCAACTAAGGGCCGGTGCACACCTAGGCGACGCCTCACCACGCAGCAATGGTGCACGATTCTGCACGGATGGCTGCACAGTCGGGAGTCTACAAGGGGGAGAACTGATCGCGCTGTGGGTGCCATTATTTTCTAATGGCACCCCAGTCGCGTTTTTTCCCCCGCGATTCCGCCCATGCTTCCGAACACAATTGCGGCTAAAACAACCGTGCGTCGTATATCGCTAAAAAAAAAAAGTAGGTACATGTACCTTATCTGCGATTGCCGTGCGGATGTCACCCCTTTGAAATCAATGGGGCAGCACCGCAATCGCTGCCTGCATTGTGCAGGACCGCGCAATCCCGGATCGCGGCGGTCTGCACCGGGGTGAAATGTACAGAATGTAACGCACATCAAGAAGCCGCCCGCTCACCTAATAATAATATTGGATAATCCAGATACAGATATACAAAATAAAGTGAAATATATTTGTAACCATCTGAAATACATGAGACAGGCGCAGCGATCACATGAGTGTCGGTCACGCTATAATAATAGTGATCAGGAGCTCCTCCCCCGCCATCTCTGTGCATATGGAACAAAGAACACATAGGATCCTATTCTACATACATATGTCACAGTGTGTCAACAAACACAATATACAAGTGTATCCTCCGAGTGTATCGGTGCCGGAATCACCACCAGATGTCTGACTCCGGGCAAAAACAAAAATCTTAAAGGAGAACTATGGGATCAGGGCTTTTCCCCATAGTTCTCCTAAGAGTAACGGGAGTACACAAACTAGCGTCCTCCGGTCACCCTAGGCTCAGTATACCGCGAGCTGTATACTGAGACGCTGAAGCGGATCCCAACAATTGTGCCGGGATCCGCCCAGCTGCGTGAGTGACAGCTGGCTCTGCCTATCTAGATGTAGAGCCAGCTGTACCCGCCCCCTCCCCCGTCCGTTCCGCCAGTCAGCGCTGGTGGATCGGAGGGGGGAATCCCAGCCCCTCCCCTGTCACAGCAGAGAGCCGTGACAGGATCGAGAGGTGAGCGAACGCCGGTATGTGTTCACTCACCTCCCGATCTACTGTGACAACCTGTGACAGTCTCATTGTCACAGGTCGGCTAGAACTATGAGGTGAGTGAAAAGCACTCGCCTCATAGTTCTCCTTTAACCCTCGCAGAGGGGCCGCCCCCCCACACTGCAAGGGGGTAAGTGTTCTTTCTTGACTAGGGGGGATAAACTTACAAAGTTATACCCGAATCACAATCCCGGCTGATTCCTAGACTGGTTCCTTCAGCCTCTCTCCTCCTCCACTCCAGCCGTGTAAGGCCCTGCGGGTCATCACATCCTATACAGTGTATTGAACATGTGGACGCTGATGATGATACCATTGCTGGATCAGAGGAGGGGACAAGCTGCAGGGACTGGTCTAGGAGTCCATGCAAAGTGTGTCCCATCGCACTCCTGACCGGAATGAAACCCTAAGGTAGGGCGGGTGCTGTAGTGCCAGCAGATGCCTCTGCAAGTTATATGGAATCAATGGAAAGTCACTCGCGCTCCGGCTCCATACCAAGTCAGTCTCTTCATTGACCGTAGTAATGTCACATTTTAAAGCGACGTTTTGGAAGAAGGGATCAAAAAGTTCCGAAGCGTCGCTTTAAAATGTGACATTACTACGGTCAATGAAGAGACTGACTTAGTATGGAGCCGGAGCGCGGGTGACTTTCCATTGATTTGGTCTAGGAGACGGCCGGGATCGAGGTGCTGGTGAGTATAACTGTTATTTCAGGTCCTGAGACAAAAGGAGGAATATTACCCTTGGGAGCCCCACTGCGAGGGATAAGATTTGATTCGCCCGGAGTATAAATAAATACAAAGTCCACTGTCTGTGTGCATCTTCCTAGAAAATGTTCTCCCTAAATGTGTAATCCTGAACCCTGACCTGCGTCAAGGGGAAACAAACTGGAGTTTTTTTTCATGGCAGAAGAGATGCTGTATATTAGACATGTGCAATTCGTTTCGTTCCGAATCGAAATTCGGACGAATTTTCGTAAATTCGGACATTCGGATGTATCCGAATTCCGAATTACAGACATAACGAATGCAAACGAATCCGAATTTCCATTTCCGAAATTCGGTAGCGTTCGCACGAACGTTCGTTTCGTTTTCTGTACTTATTCGTTGCTTATTCGTTTCGTTCGTTGGAGCAAAGTGACATATGGAGCAAAGGAAAATATTTTTTCCCCCTCAAATGTCACTTTGCTGCAAACGAACGAATAAGAAACGAATAAGAACAGAAAACGCAACGAACGTTCGTACTAACGCTACCGAATTTCGTCCGAATCCGAATTGACTTTCACACCCGAATCCCGAAAAACGAAATAACACAAATCCGAATTTAAAACGAAACAAATTTTTTGGCAGTGCACATGTCTACTGTATATGTCTTCTTCTGATAGATGGATAATGTACATTAAACTTTGTTATCCAGTATTCAACTAACCAGAACTCTCATCTAACCAGAAAAAAAAATCCCCCGTGCACTCGCTGTTCTGCGGCATGTATTAATCTCGGAATGATCACGTGTGTATTTGTCTTAATTTGCTTTTGTTACTGCATTTCAATATTATTATGAAGTCAATACAGAGTTTGTTGTGATGTAGTGAAGTATGGGGTATACTGGGGGTATAATATGGGATATACTGGGGGTATAGTATTGGTTATGGTATTAGACCTATTTTTAATAGCAACTCTCAAGCAACCAGAAACTACATTTATCCGCAATCTACCAATCCCTGTGGATGCCGAGTAACGGGGAGGTGTGTGTTGAAAAAATAGACAGATGCAGATGTCACAGCAGTGGCTTCGATCAGGTGGTGATGCATGCACAGGCTCCCCCTGCACTGCAAGGGTTAACTGCTCCTTTTGTCTAGGGAGCTAAAATAACCGTTCTACTCACCCCAACCACGATCCCAGCTGACTCCTAGACCAGTCCCTGCAGCCTGTCCCCTCCTCCTCTCCATATTAATATGATAACATCTCATTGCTGTCTCGGTAAGTCTAGGCCAGGAAGTGGTCTGCATAATATAGCGGGTGAACCTTTTTATCCAAGGGATGTGTATTCCCCAACCTCGTGCTTCACACTATTGACTCTGTTCTTTGCTTCCACAGAGGATGTCGGTGATGAAGGAGAAGAGGAGCGAGAATTCATTTCTTACAACGTCAACATTGATATTCACTACGGACTGAAGTCAAACAGGTAATTCAATGTACCTCCTGAGGGAACCGGTCACTAATGATATATGTAATAATCTAAAGCCGGCCATACACAGTTATATTTGTTTCATTCAATCTGCGGGCTGAAGGGGGGAAACAAAATAGAGCAGATTCCTCCATCAACGCTTCCGAGTGTTGATTGAGGAATCTGCCGCTGTCTGCTTTGCGTCTGCCGCTGTCTGCTTTGCGTCTGCCGCTGTCTGCTTTGCGTCTGCCGCTGTCTGCTTTGCGTCTTTGCGTCTGCCGCTGTCTGCTTTGCGTCTGCCGCTGTCTGCTTTGCGTCTGCCGCTGTCTGCTTTTCGTCTGCCGCTGTCTGTGTTGTATTCTGATGGTGGCCGCTGACAGAATAGCTGAACAGAGCCCAGGGAGCTCATTGGCTGCCCGCTCTTTTCATTGGAAGATTTTCTGACCGGCTCCTTTGATCAGCTGATGGCGGGATGCCGGCTGGAAGGGTGTCAACAGCGGCACCCACTGTGGATTTCAGCGGGTTCATAAAGAACCGGATGAGATTGGCATAGTGTATGGCCAGCTGTAGCCTGTGCTCTTGCATTGTACTCTACTACTTGGAGATGATTTGATGTGTTTTTTATTTACTTGCTTTTTTTCCCCCCTGTCTGGCTATAAGGCCGTCCGGTTTCTTGCTTGATCCCATAAATAAGACCTTTTAATGCTCAGTAAGTGTCAGTTTGGTGTATTATGAAATGTGTTGCTTGTAGGACTTGCTGGAAATGAAATGTAATCTTTTGTGATCTCTTTTGCTTTTGTTACAGCTTGGCGTTCATCAAACGCACACCAGTTATCGACGCCGACAAACCGATTTCATCTCAGCTGCGAGTGCTCACGCTCAGCGAGGATTCCCCCTATGAGACCTTACACTCTTTCATCAGCAATGCCGTCGCCCCTTTCTTCAAGTCTTACATCCGAGAATCCGGGAAAGCCGACAGGTAATTGGAACATGAAATGATTAGCCGATACGTTCTTGCACGCCATCTAATCGTGGTACTCAATAAGGCGAAGGGCGCTTACTGGCGGGCAGCAATCAGAACTGATCTTTTAGTCACCCGTTAGGTCACTTTGTGCTCTTGTGTTGCTCTTTGTACTGACTCGTTTGTTAAGCCGATACCCCTACAGCACATGTGCGTCTCCCATGCTGGGCGGAACGCATCTACCCCAACAACCATAAAATGTCCTCCAAACAATATAAACATTGCACAAGATACCCTTCTAATTAGGGATGCACCGATACCGAGTATTGGTACCGATACCGAGTATTGGTGCCGATACCGAGTATTTGGGTGAGTACTTGTACTCGCCGAATACTCCAATGCCTACCCCGATACCCAAACTTCCAGTGTCAGGAAGCCGGGCAGCTGATCTTTGACTGGGAAGCTGGCTCCATGCTCCCTCCTCACCCGGTGAGGAGAGAGCATGGAGCTGGCTTTCTGATTGGTCGGGAAGATGGCCAATGATGAAGCCAGGCAGCGAGTCATTACCTGCCTCCCAGCTTCCTGATTGGCCAGAAAGCCCGCTTCATGCTCCCTTGTCACCTGGAGCATGGAGTCTGCTTCCCGGTCAAACAGGAAGCGGGGCGCCGTGTAATGACTCGCCGCCTGGCTTCCTGAGACATTACCCGCCTCCCAGCTTCCTGATTGGCCAGAAAGCTGTCTCCATGCTCCCTCGTCACCTGGTAACGAAGCATGGAGACAGATTCCCTGCTTATCGGGAAGCCGGGTGGCGAGTGATTACACGCCGCCTGGCTTCCTTAATGGGACTTCCAGTATTCGGTATCGCTGAGTACGGAAAAAAAATATCGGTACTCTACCGAAAAAAAGCCGGTATCGGTGCATCCCTACTTCTAATTTATAACAATGTTCATACTATATCCAGTCTTCTGCACTGTGTGTGTCAGGTATTCAGTTTTCATGCCTGCTTAGTTATGATTTAAAATATGAGCATAATCCAGGAGTCTTTTTTTTCTTTCAGGGATGGAGACAAAATGGCGCCTTCCGTTGAGAAGAAGATTGCCGAGCTGGAAATGGGCCTTTTACACTTGCAGCAGAACATTGAGATCCCGGAAATAAGTCTTCTTATCCATCCGATCATTACCAACGTTGCCAAGCAGTCCTACGAGAGAGGGGAAAAGCCCAAAGTTACAGATTTTGGAGACAAAGTAGAAGACCCCACTTTCCTCAATCAGCTGCAGTCCGGGGTCAATCGATGGATTCGAGAAATTCAGAAGGTATAAATCCACTGGCTGGCGAAACGATCAAACGCTAAGAGCCTCGGGGGTTGCCTCTCTTGAGTCTTCATTCTGTGTGCTCATACAGGGCAAAGGAGAAGGGTCACAGTGTATATCCCGGCATTACCCCAATATACCCTCAAACCTCCCTCTCCCCTTCTATGTCATGTCCCAGCATCATTTTTTTTATTCTTTTACTTGTTTCTGTAGCCAAAAAAAAGAGCTTTTATTACTTTAGGTGACATCATCACCAGGCTTGTAAAAAAAATTGCAGGAGCAGCTACTGGAAGGTCGCTTCCTATTAATGTACACACCCCTCCAGAACTACATCTCCCAAAAGCCTGGACATGCACTTTAACTTCCTCCCATTCCTTCCCAAGCAGCATATGCTCGCCTGTCCTTCACTCCCAATGCACTCCATTCAGCCACCAGAAGCAGAGTAATACCTGCTACTTCCATATAACTCTTGCCCCATCTCCCATGTGACGGGGCTGCTGCCTCATAATTGGCTCAGCAATGTCACATGGAGCTAGGCATGGAATCCTTATCCCTGTGTAAGCTTCAACAAGCTTACAAAGGGCTTTCTTTTTCCCCAATCCCAATGACAGGGGATTGAGGAAAGTGGAGTACATGTTGTGTGGCATAAGGGGGAGGTTAGATGACCCTTCTGCTTTACCATGCATAGACAAAGGAGGAAACGGCCACTTCAAGATCCTCAGGTGATGTGTTTTTGTGAAGGGTCACCTACTTTCTTCACAAGCCTCTCAGGGCAATGACGAGATCTTAGGCCCACCATCAGGGGCGTAAGTAGAAATCACAGGGCCCCATAGCAAAATTTTGTATGGGGCCCGTGATTGCTAGTTATGCCACTTGCAGAGCCCACCATAGACTCTCTATGGTGGGCTCTGCAAGGTCTCAGTTGGGCTGCACGCCTCTTACCTGTCAGCGTTGTCCACCTCCGTGGTCGCCGCCGCTGGGCCCCCGCCTCCTCTTCTGTCCTCGGGCTCCGCCTTCTCTTACATCACTGGCCCCACCTGCTCTTAGATCGCTGGCCAGTTATGGGAGAGGAGGCAGGGTTGCTGTTAGGCGGGCCCCGCCTCCTTCTTTACTGCAAACGCCGGTGTAACCGGCCTATTCTGCCGCATCTGCTGGCTGTCACTGACGCAGCCCCGCAGCGGCTGTGAGGGGGAACTTTCTCCCTCACAGCTGCTGCTGAGCTATGTCAGTGACAGCCAGCACCCGTGACGCCATAGCGACCCAGGCGGCGCACACGGCATCAGAGGGATGCCCTGGCCGGGGCCCATAGCTAGGCCTGGGCACAGGGGGGCGATTGTTACGCCACTGCCCACCATCATGACATAATAGTTCTACATTTTTATCATGTATCGTACATCTTGGAGAATACAGTGGTAGGAGTTAGTTGGGGTGACGCAGCTGGGATGTCGGGAAGATCTAGGTTGCCCTCAGGTTAGGGAAGCTAGACGATGGTCCATTAGTGACCACACATGTATAATTCTATCTATATTGGGTAGGCTGACCCTTTGAAGTCAAGTTTGTCCTCTGTTTGTAATGTAAGCTCTAACCTGTTTCAGGTAACAAAACTAGACCGCGATCCAGCATCTGGCACGGCTCTGCAGGAGATCAGTTTCTGGCTAAACCTGGAGAGGGCGCTCTACCGCATCCAGGAAAAACGTGAGAGTCCCGAAGTTCTACTAACATTGGATATCTTGAAGCATGGCAAGCGATTCCATGCCACGGTCAGCTTTGACACAGACACCGGTAGGTGATGGATCTCGTGGTAATCTGCGTGTTTTATTGAGCATAAATTAGCTATGTGACAGGTTTGCTTTAAGTCTGGAACCTGTTTTCTTGTGTTAATAGGTCTCAAGCAAGCCTTGGAAACCGTGAATGACTACAACCCTCTGATGAAAGACTTCCCATTGAATGACCTCTTGTCAGCTACCGAGCTGGACAAAATAAGACAGGCTCTGGTAGCCATCTTTACCCACCTCCGAAAAATCCGCAACACGAAATATCCGATTCAGCGCGCCCTGCGGCTGGTGGAAGCCATTTCCCGAGACTTGAGTTCTCAGCTGCTGAAGGTTCTGGGCACCAGGAAACTTATGCATGTGGCTTATGAGGAATTCGAAAAGGTATGTCAAAGCTTACCTGTCATTAAAAAATCACACGTGAAACAGTATGGCACGTCGGCACCAAATCACATTGTCGTGAATGAATAGGGGTTACTAGAATTTTGTGTTTACGTCATTAAAGAGTTAAACACAACAAACCTATCAGATCAAACTATATAGACAGCTAATGTTTTTTTTGTGCCATCATACTTGCATTAAAGGGGACCTCTACCTGCTGTAGCTGGGCTCAAGAAAGGAAAGCAGAGGGCAAAATATTAGTTTCCATTGGGGTGGGAGGTGACGCTGTGTAGTAGTCTTCTTGTTAGAGGAGCAGAGCTTTGCATCTCCATGTTAGAGCTGCCATAGGTGATCTCCCATTGCAGCGAGAGGCAGCAGTGCCATAGGTGATCTCACATTGGCAATCGGAGGCAGCAGTGCCATAGGTGATCTCCCATTGGCAATCGGAGGCAGCAGTGCCATAGGTGATCTCCCATTGGCAATCGGAGGCAGCAGTGCCATAGGTGATCTCCCATTGCAGTGAGAGGCAGCAGTGCCATAGGTGATCTCCCATTGGCAGTCAGAGGCAGCAGTGCCATAGGTGATCTCACATTGCTGGCACACAGCTATGGTACTAAAGGCACGGGAAATTTGACAAAAAAATATTCATTTTTTTTTTTCATGATACCGCAAAGCTTGACTTATTAAGTTGTCTGCTTTTTCTTATAAACATAGTAACCTGTTGCATGTGTCTTGATTTCTTTGCTTTAGGTCATGGTTGCCTGCTTTGAGGTTTTCCAAACTTGGGATGACGAGTATGAGAAGCTTCAGGTTCTGCTGAGAGATATTGTTAAACGGAAGCGTGAGGAGAATTTGAAGATGGTTTGGAGGATTAATCCGGCCCACAGGAAACTACAGGCCCGTCTGGACCAGATGAGGAAGTTTCGGCGCCAGCATGAACAGCTGAGAGCCGTCATTGTGCGGGTCCTCAGACCACAGGTGAGCCTAATTTTCATTAGCGGCATTTGAATCATAGTCACAAACTAGAGTAGCAATGTTTTTCAGTTTTTAGTACAAATTGCTAAGACATATTTTGTAAAAGGTAGTTAGCTTATGTTGTGAGAAGACCTGAATTGCTGGATATTGGAACACTGACACCCACACACACCCTACATACAGTAGTGACTCCGAGCAGGAAAACTCATCTTCCTCCACTCCAGTTGAACCCAAACCCTCTTGGACATTCAGTCTGCTGTCAATAAGTGCAGAGGTAGTGCTGGGCTTTATTAGAAAGCCCATAATTTTCTGCAAGGTGTAACGGGAGTACCCTTTTTTTGTTTAAAGGTTTTAATAACAAATACTCTCAGATGCTGGAGAGAAGCTGATGAAGCAGATCTCTGCTTCATCAGCTTCTTCGGGGGGGTCCTAGGTGACATTAGGGTTCTTGGAGACCCCTAAAGTGGACCTGTCACATCTTTTGCTATCACACAGGGGGGTTTCTTAGCCCCCAATGTGATAGCAATAAAGTTAAGTGGAAAAAAATGAGTTTCCAAAAAAGAAAAATGTAAAGTTACACATAAAGAATAAAAACATTTTTAAAGTCCCCCACCCATACATACATGCGTCGGGTGCGCATACCTGCGAAAACGACGATTGCGCCCATTACGACGCACATGTTACATATCGCCGCGAACGTCGCAGTGAGAGCAATAATTTTAGTGCCATCAATCACTGATCACACTAAACTGATGAGCTGTAAAAGCTTTTAAAGCATTGCCTATGGTCAATTTTGGGTATGGTAGTTTTTTGTGCGGCGCTCGCAATTTTTAAGCTTGACATGTTTGGTGTCCTATTTATCTGACGTGACCCAGTCTTTTATATTTTACCCAATAAATTGGTTAATGTTTCATAACATAATGTAAAAATAAAAATTTCAGTAATTTTTCCCAAAATATAGTAAAAAATAAAAAACCCCAGTGGTGATTAAATACCACCAAAAGAAAGTTCTATCTGTCACCAAACAATGGTATAAAATTCATTTCAGCACAGCGTTGCATGACGGAATAAATGTCAAAGTACCGCAGCGCTGAATACTGAAAAATGGCCGGGACAGGAAGGGTGTGTAAACACCGCGGTCTTCAAGCGGTTAAAGTATCGGTTTATAAACTTGAAGTTTAAAAAGTACAAAAACTATTCTAATTCCCCTTTTCATTGTTTATACAGGTTACAGCAGTGGCTCAACAGAACCAGGGGGAAGTACCTGAACCCCAGGACTTGAAAGTGGCAGAGGTCCTATTCGATGCTGCAGATGCCAACGCCATTGAGGAGGTCAATCTTGCCTATGAGAACGTAAAGGAAGTTGATGGTTTGGATGTCTCAAAAGAAGGCACGGAGGCGTGGGAAGCGGCACTAAAAAGATATGATGAAAGAATAGACCGAGTCGAGACCAGAATCACAGCCCGTCTCAGAGATCAACTTGGCACAGCCAAAAATGCCAACGAGATGTTCAGGATCTTCTCCCGCTTCAACGCTCTCTTTGTTAGACCTCACATTAGGGGAGCTATCCGCGAGTACCAAACGCAGCTTATCCAGCGGGTAAAGGATGACATCGAATCCCTTCACGACAAGTTCAAAGTACAGTATCCGCAAAGTCAAGCGTGCAAGATGAGTCATGTCCGAGACCTCCCACCGGTTTCAGGCTCCATTATCTGGGCCAAGCAGATAGACCGTCAGCTGACTGCCTACATGAAGCGGGTGGAAGACGTTCTTGGCAAAGGTTGGGAAAACCACGTTGAAGGACAGAAACTGAAACAAGACGGGGACAGCTTCCGCATGAAACTCAACACCCAGGAAATTTTCGACGACTGGGCAAGGAAGGTTCAGCAGCGTAATCTCGGCGTGTCCGGCCGTATCTTCACCATTGAATGTACGCGTGCCAGGGGGAGAACTGGAAATGTGCTCAAGCTAAAAGTCAACTTCTTGCCGGAGATCATAACCCTCTCAAAAGAAGTCCGGAACCTTAAATGGCTTGGTTTCCGCGTCCCATTGGCCATCGTCAACAAAGCCCACCAGGCCAATCAGCTGTACCCTTTTGCCATTTCCCTCATTGAGAGTGTCCGTACCTACGAGCGCACGTGTGAGAAAGTGGAGGAGCGCAACAGTATCAGCTTGCTGGTTGCCGGTCTTAAGAAGGAGGTCCAGGCTCTGATAGCTGAAGGAATTGCTCTGGTTTGGGAGTCTTACAAGCTGGATCCTTATGTCCAACGTTTGGCTGAAACCGTGTTCAACTTCCAAGAGAAGGTATGCTTTTGTTTTGAAATGCAGTTTTTACTGAACACTTATTGGAGCTCAGGCTACTGGTGTGACCCACAATTTAACTATTTAAGGAAACTAGGGATGCACTGATACCAGTATCGGTGCCGATACCGAGTATTTGGCCGAGTACTCGTACTCTCCCAAATGCTCCCGATGCCGATCCAGTTACTGGAACTTCCGGTATCAGGAAGCCGGCCAGCGAGTCATTACATGCTTCCCAGCCAATCGGAAAGCCTGGCAGCGTGTAATGACTCGCTGCCTGGCTTCCTGATTGGCCATTTTCCTGACCAATCCGGAAGCCGGGCAGCAAGTTATTACCCGCCCCCCGACTTACTGATTGGCCTGAAAGCTGGCTTCATGCTCCCTCGTCACCACGTGATAAGGGAGCATGGAGACGGCTTTCCTGCTAATCAGGAAGCCGGCCAGCGAGTCATTACACACCACTTGGCTTCCTTAATGGGACTTCCGGTATCGGCGAGTACCGGGGAAAAAAATATGGTACTCCACTACCGTAAAACCGGTATCGGTGCATCCCTGAAGGAAAGCATTTTCCGATGATAAAAATCCCCCTTTTCACTGTATTTAAATTAACGAGGTGTTTGTGTCTCCCAGGTGGACGATCTACTCATCATCGAAGAGAAAATAGACTTGGAAGTTCGGTCTCTGGAGACTTGCATGTACGACCACAAAACGTTTTCGGAAATCTTGAACAGAATCCAAAAGGCTGTCGATGACTTGAACCTTCACTCTTATTCCAACCTCCCCATCTGGGTCAACAAACTTGATATGGAGGTAATTGGTTGCAGATAATATGGTGACTTGGCTTTCTGTTTTTGTTTTCTTTTTTTCATACTGGACATAGACTATGGGGAAAGCTCCACCCCCTAAGCCCTCATTCACAGGGATGGATCCTGTCTGCGTCTGAGCAGGGACAGACGTGCAGTTCGGGTGAGCGTACGGCCGCGTGCTCCCATGGAGAAGAATAGGCTGCTGCGTACAATCACACGCAGCACCTGTCCTTCCCGGGAGCGGCCCGATACGGCCATGCACGGATCTGTACAGGCTGGCTGTTAGTTGTGTGAATGAGGGCTAATGGTCAGACCCCCTGCAGGTAATAGCGGTCTGAAAAATGATTGCTTTTCACCTATCGAATGTCTACATGAGGGGAAGTATTGTTATGTTTGGTTAATGCTACATTAGCTTAGTACAGATGTTCCTCGCTTGCCGACTTACCTGTTTTGTGACCACTCGCACTTACGACGGACCGCCGATCGACCTCCGACCTTGCCGGCGGAAGTGGTGTCCTCCGATCTTCACTGCGGGTCCCGGTAAGTATTTTCATTGCCCGATGTACAGTACACTGTTTGGTGCTGTACATCAGAAACGCTATACAGTACTATACTAATGCAGTACTGTATAGAGTTCCTCACTTAACGACCGATCCGTTTAACGACCTGGTCGTAGGAACAGAACTCGGTCGTTAAGTGAGGAATACCTGTAATATCATAATCCAAAAATTGTTTGGATAACAAAATGGATAATTTTATTTTGGTGTGCAAGGTGCCAATTGAAAAGCGGTCTCGGTGATGGCAGTTGAAACCCAAGGTTTTGCAGGTTCAGAAGATTGAAGTGTATATGACTTATATGGCAGCCTTGCCTGTTCAACTCCTGAGGGACCGATTTCTTTCATTGAAACTGGTGTTTGCGGAGGGTAAAAAAAGGTCTCTCATACAAAGTTGTAGTATACGGTCCAGCTATTTTTGGCCTGTTTAAGGTGTCTTCTGGACTAAAGGACAGGAAGAACACCTACCTCTCTATCTCCTTTTTACATGACCACTAAATATATTGGAACTCCATGGCTCTTGCACTGGAGCTGCTGGCGGACTGAGTTGTACATTAGCTTGTTGACCTGTTTCGTACAATCAGTACTTTTCTTAATAAACATGTATTTTTTTTATTTCCTGTGCCATAGATTGAAAGAATCTTGGGAGTGCGTCTTCAGGTCGGTTTGAAAACTTGGACACAGGTTCTCATGGGTCAGTTTGATGATAAAGCGGATGTTGACATGGACACTGATGCTCCTCAAGCCAGCCACAAACCAGGCGGAGAGCCCAAAATCAAGGTACGCGGTCTCGCCTTCTATACATTTCACCATTCTTAATGCTTTTTCCATATATTGAAACTGCCATGTAACCTTCCCTTGCAGAATATCGTCCACGAACTCCGCATCACCAACCAGGTCATCTACCTTAATCCACCAATTGAAGATTGCAGGTATAAGCTGTATCAGGAAATGTTCTCCTGGAAAATGACCATTTTGTCCCTGCCCAGAATTCAAAGCCAGAGATATCAGGTAATGCGCTATCGGCAGACATTCACTGACTCTCCCCTGCTGTTCTATTAAGTACTGATGAGATACTGACGCTGTTTGCTCTAAAACAGGTGGGCGTCCATTATGAGCTGTCCGAAGAAGAAAAGTACTACAGGAATGCCCTGACCCGTATGCCTGATGGGCCAAATGGACTGGAAGAATCATACAATGCTGTCATGGGTATTGTTACCGAGGTGGAGCAGTATGTCAAGGTAAGACAATCCACAGAGTCATGGTAGCTTGCTGCAGAACCGTGTTTTGTGTGTTGTATGTTGGTACATAGAGCCGTAGTGTGACAGAAGCATGCATTTGTTCACCTAGAACAGCGGTTCTCAACCTGTGGGTCGCGACCCCGTCGGGGGTCGAATGACGATTTGCTAGGGGTCGCCCGGGAGTCTCCCGCTATTAGATATCAGGTCCTTTTCTAGTGATTGGCAGCAGCAAAGGGCGGGTGCAATAGCAAATTTGCTATTGGCTATTGCAAAGTGAAATGGCCAATAGGAATCTAGCTATGCATTCCTATGGTGGCTTTTTTTTTTTTTGACGGCGTACGCCAGTGGTTCTCAAGCTGTTGGTCGCTGTGTGATTTTTCTGCTATGCTAGGTGTGAGTCCTCCTCAGCCCTCTCATAGCGCAGCAGTGTCAGTTCTCCCGCCACGCCACCAGATGTCGCTGTAGCAGCCGCGTCAAACCCTAAAATTTTATCCTTTGGGGGTCACCACAACTTGGCAAATGTTACCAAGGGGTCCTGGCCCTTGAAAGGTTGAGAACCACTGACCTAGAATGAGCCCTCACTTGAAATGGAATCGACTTCCAGTTTAGATTCTGTGCAACTCCTTTTCTAATTCCATTGCAAGTATTTGGAGAAAAGGTATTGAAGTGTTGCATATGGAGTTTGTCAGTCCCCTTTTTAATTAAGAATATATTTATATCTGCCCTCAAGATGCTAATATCTGTCAATTTTGAAATATGGGAGAGACTAATTGTGTAATATAGTGTATAGTAATGATACTTTAAAAAGCAGCCATATTTTAGGATTTAAAGGAGTTGCCTATCCCTACCAATGTTGGAATCCTTATGCTGCACTGTGAATAATCCTTTCTATTCGTATGTCGCAGGTGTGGCTGCAGTACCAGTGCTTGTGGGACATGCAAGCTGAAAACATCTACAACCGCCTGGGAGAAGACTTGAATAAGTGGCAGGCACTGCTTGTGCAGATCCGGAAGGCCAGAGGAACATTCGACAATGCTGAGACCAGGAAGGAGTTTGGACCTGTTATCATTGACTATGGAAAGGTGGGTTCTAGTGCTCATTCCACAGGTTATTAGATATGGCATGTCTGACAGCTAAACTATTTAGGGAAGGAGTCTAAAAAAATAAAATGTTACCCTGTTGTCGGGTCATTTATTTCAGCAAAGATTTTCCCATAAGATATGTGGATTTACCATATTTAGTGCATGTTATTTACCTACCAAAAAACTCCCCATGTGTAGACGTCCAAAAGCCCCAAGTGTGCTGCTTGGCACCACATTCCTTGTCTATTTTATCAATGGACCAAACAGGGACACTTTATAGTATTCCTCTTCCTCCCCTGGCAGCTGTGTAAAAGGTTATCTATGGAGGAGCTAGGCCAGTACAGACATTTACTAGCCACTTCCAGAAAAGAAAAGGGCTATCACTTACAAGGAGGGAGGGGTCTGTGCTAGGGAATGGATTCTTCCTGGAGTAGTCAGAATACCAGGCTCAGAATCGGGCCGGAACGCACTGGATCGCATTCTGGTCGGCTCCCTTTGTTTTGGGGCGGGAGGGTTTGGGGCGGTGCATTGAACTCAATAGCACCACGTCCTTCGGCTGCATGGGAAAGTGTGGCACATCAATGCCTGCATTCCCGTCTGGCGCGGTCAGAAAAAATTTGTGCATGCAGCCCCAAGTTCTGTGACGTGCCGTATATCTTTTCTTTGAAAATAAATTATTTTAATTGCAGTGTCCTTCATGGTTAGTGGATGGAGCCATGCAAAAACAAATCCCATCATGTTCCAGTAGTGTAGGAGCAGCCTAAAATAAATGTTTTTCAGACTTTTGTACACCTGTGTGACTTGTTGGCTATTCAGACAATGGACGCTGTGGATTTCATGGGATCAATAACAGTACAACCTTTTAAATAGTTTTAATAACTTTGTCAGGATGTCACTCTCCATTCTTTTTTCTTTTTGTTGTGACAGGTTCAATCCAAAGTCAACCTGAAATATGATTCTTGGCACAAGGAGGTCCTCAGCAAGTTTGGCCAAATGCTTGGGCAGAACATGACAGAATTTCATTCACAGATTTCCAAGGTATGGATCCATGATGGAATAATATTGCTTGTACTTTGTGGTTTATTTCTATTTATTTATTTTTTTAATTTTTTTTATTTCAGTCCCGTCAAGAACTGGAGCAACATTCAGTGGATACGGCCAGTACCTCGGATGCAGTGACCTTCATCACTTACGTCCAGTCTTTGAAACGCAAGATCAAGCAGTTTGAGAAACAAGTTGATGTAAGTAGACTTTGGGTTATGTGGTGGTTTGTTTGTGTTTTTTTTATCATTGTAGCTATTCATCTTTTATTCCATAGGAAAATAAAACAAGGGAATTGTTTAAGAACAACTAGAGGCTCCAGTATGACAATACAAATGCATCCTAAATCTAGTTACTGTGTGATGCACAACGTTCAGAAAATGAACAGATTACTTCCTTACCTTTCTTGACTGAGACAAATCGTCTTTAGTTTGTCTCACACGCTCCTCCTCCCAGACACTACAGCTCACAGAGGGAGTTCCTGAGCAGAAGTAGTGCTGTTTGTGCAGAAAGCAGTGGGCAGGATTAGGCGTGACTGGCAAACTAGAGGCCTGTGCATCAGTAATGGCAAAGATGGCCACATCCCCTTTTTATCGCGCTGCAGTGCAAGGAGGCACAGTCTACATGAGTGGTGAATCTGCTCTGAATTCAGGAGCACTGCAGCATTGTTGCCACCCCATCACAGGAAGCTGCATTAGGAGGCAGACTCAACAGGTATTTGTGGGAGTTTGCAGGAGGATTAAGAAAACGAAGTACAGATGCACTTATAATTAAAGGAGAACTATGAGGTGAGTGATTTTCACTCGCCTCATAGTTCTAGCTGACCTGTGACAATGAGACTGTCACAGGTCGGCTCAGTGGATCGGGAGGTGAGCGAACACATACCGGCGTTCGCTCGCCTCTCGATCCTATCACGGCTCTCTGCCGTGACGGAGGGGCTGGATTCCCCCCTCCCTGCTTCGATCCGCCATCGCTGACTGGCGGAACGGACGGGGGAGGGGGCGGGTACAGCTGGCTCTGCCTCTAGATAGGCAGAGCCAACTGTCACTCACGCAGCTGGGCGGATCCCGGCATCATTGTCGGGATCCGCTTCAATTGCGGTGTCTCAGTATACCGTGAGCTACAGCTCGCGTTATACTGAGCCTAGGGTGACAGGAGGACGCTAGTTTGTCCTCCCGTTACCCTTAGGAGAACTATGGGGGAAAAGCCTTAACCCCATAGTTCTCTTTTAAAATTGCTGCAGCACATATTTTTAATAGGACTTAGTTCTACTTCAATCAGACTTGTTTTCTAAGTCTTCATAGATCTCCACCTATCTGCGCTTCCATTCATCTTACCAAAGTCTAAATTTTTTTGACTACAGCAATAACTTCTCTCCTTGTCTGCCATTCTCCTGCTTTGCCCTCTATAAGTACCAGGTTTCTTTATGCTTTGTTCTCTGTCCACATAGTTACCTCCTTTTGCTTCCTCTTACAGCTGTACAGGAATGGACAGCGTTTGCTGGAGAAGCAGCGCTTCCAGTTCCCTTCATCCTGGCTTTACATCGACAACATCGAGGGTGAATGGGGTGCCTTCAATGACATCATGCGAAGAAAGGATTCCGCCATCCAGCAGCAAGTGGCCAATCTGCAGATGAAGATCGTTCAGGAAGACAGAGCAGTGGAGAGTCGTACCATCGACCTGCTGACCGACTGGGAGAAGACCAAGCCTGTTGCTGTAAGGGCATTGCATTTTTTCCTTCTTTTTGGAACTTTTTCTGCTTTAAGTAATTGTTAGTCCAGATGAAGCTAACTCTGATCTAGTCAGGAAAACTAAATGCAGAAAAAATGGTCTCGGGAGCATGAGTGGCTACTAACCATGCCATCAGTGTGTAGACACCTTTTTAAAGTGGAGTTTTAGTCAAACAGGAACCCAACCTGAAGCCCTAGCTTTAGCAAATGCTGCTGTGTGATCATGTGACAGCTGGTCATGTGATTTCTGTTGCAGGAAAGGATTGGTTATTCTCAAATCTGGACCTCCCCTTTAGCAGAGATCATGTGACCAAATGGTTGAGTATTTGATCACATGACAAGCCCTCATAGGATTTCTGCAGCAGAGGAATTCCATAACTTATGTTTCTTTTTATGATGGCTTCAGAGTAGTGGAATTGGTCTTTATAGGACTATAATTCCACTTTAAACCAATTTCCACAAAAAATATAATTTCACGCAAATATTTAGTTTTCTCATTTGCTTTTTCAATATGAAGAATGCAGTTAAGTGGGCCTGTCCTTTTTTTGATGGTTTCTGCAAGTGGTAGACTGATACAAGAGGGAGAATATATTGCTGGTGGATTATTCGGCTCTCCAGTTTGCATCCAAAACTTGTCACTGTTGTGTGTGTTTTTTTTTTGGTTTGTAACTTTCATGAGTTTCCCTTTAACTATGTAGCTTATAGGAGGGTGAAATGTAAAATGCAATGTTTCCTGGGACATCTCGTGTTCAGAATGCGTTATCCTGCTATTCTTTTATTGTATTTGAATGTTTCAGGGTAACCTGCGCCCTGAGGATGCCCACCAGGCTCTCACCATATATGAAGGAAAGTTTGGCAGGCTGAAAGATGACCGTGAGAAATGCGCGAAAGCGAAGGAAGCCTTGGAGCTCACAGATACCGGCCTTCTCAGCGGCAGTGAAGAACGCGTTCAGGTAGACCTAGAGATTTTACTCCTGCCGTATGCAGTGACCGATTCACAGCATGGTCATCAACTGACTCCCCTCTTTCTTGGTTTGGCCCACAGGTGGCTTTGGAAGAATTGCAAGATCTGAAGGGTGTCTGGTCTGAGCTGTCCAAAGTGTGGGAGCAGATTGACCAAATGAAGGAGCAGACGTGGGTGTCTGTTCAGCCACGCAAGGTACCAAACCTTCTCAACCTGGGTCTAGTATAAGAAAAGCTTCTGTTCCATCAGCGTACTGACTGTATTTAATTCTTTATAGCTCCGTCAAAGCTTGGATGGGCTGCTGAACCAACTGAAGAACTTCCCTGCCCGGTTGAGACAATATGCTTCCTATGAATTTGTCCAGAGACTGCTGAAGGGTTACATGAAGGTAAAGTGATGTTTTAGGAGACATGATTGCCTTGTGCCTCTGAAGTAAGGTGCTGAAGTGACATTTTGTTTGCCGTCAGGTGAACATGCTGGTGATCGAGCTGAAGTCCGAAGCCTTGAAGGATCGACATTGGAAACAGTTGATGAAGAGACTGCATGTGAATTGGGTGGTGTCTGAACTCACTCTGGGTCAGATCTGGGATGTCGATTTACAAAGAAATGAAGCCATTGTCAAAGATGTCTTGTTGGTGGCCCAAGGAGAAATGGCCTTGGAGGAATTCTTGAAACAGGTAAATTTTTTGTGTAATCCAAAGAAATAGATATATCACTTATTTAAAGCTGATACTGCTGGCAAATCTACATATACACAAATCTCTACAGTAATGTATCCATTGAAAACCTCATGTAAGGTATTTTAAAATGCAACTAGTATATGGACCTGGATTTTTACTTTGTATCAGCCACTTATAATCCCATGTACAGCAGCATTTAGATAAGAAGGGGCAGCGCTAATAGCCAATCGGTTGTGCAACATGCGATTTTTCTGACCCAAGACCCTAATAGGAAAAGAGTGCAGAGGGATGACTTATTAGTATTCCGCTGCTCTTCTGTCCATTCACAGGCTGGGGATAGTGAGGTGACCGAGCTGTGTTGACAAACTTTTTTTGTAGAGAAAAGTCAGTTCATTACTCTGGCTTTGTTGGCTAGTTGGGTTTTGGGAATCTCAGGACTGTCTGGATAAAATTACAAACCCCTGGGCAGGTAAAACAGATCCCATATGTGTTTTTTTTTATTTTAACTGTGTACTTCAAATTTCAGTTTAAAGCTCAACTCCTGAATAAATATGACCACTGGGTGGAGGGAATGGGGTAGGTGCCCACATTCTATCATTTTGCCTTTCTGCATGCCTGAGCAGACTACATGCCAGCCACAATGCATTGATGCCATGGGGCGGGATTGTGAGCATTGCCAAGAGTCTTACTCTATAGTTTCTGCCTACATTGCTGTCAATCATTGCGGTCATTGGTAGGCAGGACATACCATTAGTATGAACAATCTGGGTCCACCCACAGCAGCGAAAACTACAGCGGGGCATGTTCATGACTGGCGGTGGTGCTGAATGAGAGGGCATAATGACTACCGGTCTTATGAACAGGAAAAGGGTGAGTGAGCCCTGGAAAGAAGAAAAAAAATGGGAAAGGAATTATTCAATGACCGCTGCCAACAAAACATAAAGGAGGAATGCAAGGCAAGAGATCTCATTTACAAGTGTTTCTATATTTATGCCCACAGTTCAGATTTAAAGTGTCTTGATTCATTAAAAAAATGCTCTGTAATGTATTGTATGCCACAAAAAACAAAGGAGTCATTAGTGTAATAAATTATTTCTAGATTCGTGAAGTTTGGAATGCTTACGAACTGGATCTGGTCAATTATCAAAACAAATGTCGCTTGATCCGTGGCTGGGACGATCTGTTCAACAAGGTCAAGGAGCACATCAACAGTGTTTCAGCTATGAAGCTGTCGCCATACTACAAGGTGGGACTTTCTTTTCTGAAAACCTCTGCACATTTTTGTATGTTTTAATTTCTTTCGCTGACTCCCTTTTTGCCATAATTATTCACATCCAGGTGTTTGAAGAAGATGCCCTGAGCTGGGAAGACAAGCTAAACAGGATCATGGCTCTTTTTGATGTTTGGATCGACGTCCAGAGGCGCTGGGTGTACCTGGAAGGCATCTTTACAGGCAGCGCTGACATCAAACATCTGCTTCCTGTGGAGACTCAGCGATTCCAGAGGTACTGCTCTTCTAATGGTCTGTGGATATGTACGCAATATGCTGAGAACATGGTACTGATTAGGTTCTGTCTGTTTTTCAGTATCAGCACAGAGTTCTTGTCCCTCATGAAGAAAGTTACCAAATCGCCCCTGGTCATGGATGTCCTGAACATTCAGGGAGTGCAAAGATCATTGGAAAGGTTGGCCGACTTACTGGGAAAGATCCAGAAGGCGTTGGGAGAGTATCTGGAAAGGGAGAGGTCTTCTTTCCCCCGGTAAGTGCCTCTTTGGACATTGCAAGTCAATTTGAGCAGGACTTGGTGGCGCTTTTGGAATGTGTACCACTTCATGGTACGGCAGCAGTGTCTTCATTAGATGCTGCATCTCTCTCTGAGGTTGTGCGGCATGACTTAGTATGGGATCCTGTGAGAAACAGTGCAGAGAAAATAAGTGACAGTCTTGGATATTAAACTTTTAAATGCAGTTTAAGACTATAAAGTCTCACCGCCACGAGGTCACGGCACTCACATTCTTTATGCAACACGACTCTTAGGCAGGCCTTCTGGCTAGCCTTGGGCAATTTTTATATCTAGGCCGCTCGGTTCACCGGACAGCCTGCCAGGTTTGTGCACTGGCTCTTTATGCACGATTGAGCACCTTTTTTGACTTTACAGAAGACTGAGGGTGCAGGTACCTTCGGGCCTGTTCCTGAAGTTGGGGAGGAGATTCTGTGGCCCTTATGGGGCCCCCTGTCTCCTCCCACTCGGGTCTTCTTTCGGGGGAGCCCCCAATCTAGTACTCGGTGAACCTGTTTCGGCAGGTCCCAGAGGATCGGGGTCTGCTTGCCTACGGTAGGTGGACCTAAAGTCGTCTTGTCCCTGTCTGGAGCCTTGCGCCCCAGGTGTTCAGGAAATTGTGGCCCTTCTCATCAGAGAGGACCAAAGCACCCTCGTGCACGTTTTTGTGTGTAGTGATTTCACTATTCACTTTTTTTGTTCACAGGGGTTTTCTTTTTGTTTGCACGCTTCCACAGGCTTCATTAAATAAAAAAATATTAAGACTAAAGTCTGACATCAGGTGGTACATAGTTGACATAAGTGATGTAATACACGACTGCTCAAAAATGGGGATACAGTGTCAGACGTATCCCCATTTCAATAAAGACATTTGAAGATTCTCTTCATTCACAGAGTCGGAGTAGAGCCTAACATCTTCTTCTTCTGTACTAGCTCTAGAGCCTTCCTCTTCTGGTTAAACTGATCTATATTGCATAAGATAATGTGTATGCAAATGTATCTGTCAGTGTTGCTGAGATTTACCCTCACTTCCTGTCAAGTGAAACCAATCTCCTTTCTAGTGGTGGATGATAGCAGTAGGACCAGGGGTTCGAATTGTTCCCAAATCTATAAAAAATCAATTTGACTGGACATACAACTTAAAACTATGGAGTAAGTGTTTTTTCCCCATAGTTCTCTTTAGGTTCACGGGAGGACATGTACTAACCTCCTCCTGTGACCCAAAGCTCACTATATCGCGGGCTGTACTGAGAGCGCCGCAGCCGGGACGAATTCCCGACAATACTGTCGAGATCCACCCAGCTGCGTGAGTGACAGCTGGCTCTGCCTATCTAGTCAGCCCTGGATAATCGGGGAGGGGGGAATCTCTACGTGGAGCCGTGACTGACGGTCACCGTTCACTACAGGGAGAGTATCGGGAAGTGAGCGGATCGGTTGCATGTTTCTGCTCACTTCCCAATCAATAGAGCCGACCTGTGACCGTTTCCTTGTCACAGGTCGGCTCTCACTATGAGGAGGAGTAGAAATCATTCACCTCCTAGTTCTCAAGTATTTTCCTCTATGGGACAATGGAATGTTATTGAACTAATGCAGAATTCAAACAGGAAGGCTTTCATATATTTTAATTTTTGCACGCTGTGTAGATTCTACTTTGTTGGTGATGAAGATCTGCTGGAAATTATCGGCAACAGCAAGAACGTGCCCAAGCTGCAGAAACACTTCAAGAAGATGTTCGCTGGGGTCTCCAGTATCATCCTAAATGAGGACAGCTCTATTGTTCTGGGAATCTCTTCACGAGAAGGGGAGGAGGTATGCCTTATTTTCTTTCCCTGGGTCCACTTTACTTAGGTTTGTGCATTGTAGATCTGCATTGTAGGCCTTCCTGCAGTCAGATTTAGTCCTTGTCCCTAGAGGTTTGTGCACTGCTGTCTAGTTTTCTCAGCTGTAGCTCGCTCAGACATGTAACATGAGCCTTGCAGAAGAATTCCAAAAAACATGGAAGAATTTTGCCACAATGGTTTTATGGAAGTCGCAGGTAATTTTTAGGGATGCACCGATGTATCAGCCCCTGAAACGTATCGCCCGAAAATGGCACTTTTGGCATAATGCCAGAAAGTGCAATTTTTCTGGCTGATACAGCGGTGCATCCATTATTTCTCTCCTCCCCGCTGGGCGCTGCTGTGTCCCAGCGGGGAGGAGAGAAACTGTCACAGGCGGCCCAGTGCTGCGGGAGGAGAACGCTGTGAGCGGCCGCCGTCTCTTCTCCCACATCAGCCTACTGTCACAGAGCGGTGTGTGGGCGAAGACAGCCAGCGCTGTCACAGGAGGCTGAGCTCTCCTCCCGCTCCGCTCGCTCAGCCTCCTGTGACAGCTGTCAGGATGGAGAGCGCGTACAAGCAGTCAGTGAACACTGAGTGTTTGTACATAATTGAGGACGTATGGTTACTATATCCTCAATTATGAATGAATGGAAAGTGATCTACATTCCCTCCTGTTCATTCATAGTTGTAGGTATAGTAAACATACTATGTCCTCATGAATGATCAGTAACACTCAGTATAGAGGATTCCTGTTCAGTGATAACAGGGGCTGCAGAAAAAGAGATTGAGAACACAGAGTCCTCTATCTCCTCTTTTTCTATTTTAAAAGGGAAATATCCGGGGGTCTGTTTAGGCCCCTAATATTTCCCCAAAGCCCCTAAAAGAGTAAAAAATTAATCCATTAAATAAAAATATTTTAAAAAGTAAAAATAAAATAACAAATTTTGGTTTCGGCCTGACCTTTTTTTTTTTTTCTATTTCGGTGCACCTCTAGAAATGTTAGATCTTCTGATCGAAGCGTTTTTGCTTTTGTTCCTGGAGAGCATATCAGTTCACTGACTTACTTCTTCCTGAGAGTTGCTGTGAAACACCGCTATGTAGACTCGTGTGCCACAAAAGTCTTTGCTATCGGTTCCAGAGATTTCTCTGTGCGGTTGCAAACCTTGTGCACGATTTATTCAGAAAAAATAGCATTTGTGTGGGAATAAGTATTTGGTTATGAACCTGTGGCCCCAGGGGTTATAGTGAGAAGGACCAGTTCTCCTATCCTGGCCAGATGTTGGCCCTTAGGTTAAAGGAGAACTATGGGGTCAGGGCTTTTCCCCATAGTTCTCCTAAGGGTAACGGGAGGACACAAACTAGCGTCCTCCCGTCACCCAAAGCTCAGTATACCGCGAGCTACAGCTCCCTATATACTGAGAGCGCCGCAGCCGGGACAGATCCCGACATTACTGTCAAGATCCACCCAGCTGCGTGAGTGACAGCTGGCTCTGCCTATCTAGAGGCAGAGCCAGCTGTACCCACCCCCTCCCCTGTCCGTTCCGCCAGTCAGCGCTGGAGGATCGGACAGGGGAGGAGGGGAATCTCTGCAGGGAGCCGCGAGTAACTGTCACGGCTCTCTGCATGGACATGTTCGAGAAGTGAGCGAGCAATGGTATGTGTTCGCTCACTTCCCCATCTATTGAGCCGACCTGTGACAGTTTCATTGTCACACGTCGGCTAGAACTATGAGGTGAGTGAAAAGCACTCACCTCATAGTTCTCCTTAAGTCCATATGTTCAGATGTTTTCTTTGACTTTTTTTTTTTTTTTTTGGGGAACAAAGCAAGATCGGGGTTTTTCTGGCACATTACTTTCATATGGCATTCTAAAACCATCTCTGTTCTACAGGTGATGTTCAAGACTCCGGTGTCCATCACAGAACATCCCAAAATCAATGAATGGCTCACACTCGTGGAGAAAGAAATGAGGGTGACATTGGCTAAGCTGCTGGCTGAATCTGTCACAGAAGTGGAAATCTTCGGGAAGTCCACAGCAATCGAGCCTGACACGTACATCTCGTGGATTGACAAGTACCAGGTACGTTGTGGCTCTTACAAACACGAGGGCTGATGTTGGGTCCTTCTGTGCTTAGCAGGGGTGGCGTGTGTTCGGAGTTGGAGATTTCTCAGTGACTGCATGGATTTTCTGTTTCTTTTTGGTACTCCCCCAGTTTTAAAATAGACTTGTCTTTTTTAATAAATTGGGTGTACATTTTGTCCCTGCAAGTTTGCAAAAGCTTGTATTGCATTACATTACAGAAACAGACTGGGGGAAAAAAGACCAAGTGGTCAGTATATCTATTCTTTGTTTTTAAAAATGTTTACTTTTTTGCTTTGTGTGGACCTGTTTAAATAATTTTATTGTTTTGACTTGCTAACGTTTAGGGATACTAATATCTGTGCCGATACCGACTATTTGGGCGAGTACTCGTGCTCGCCAAAATGCTCCGATACCTTCCCCGAAACCGGAACTTGCGGTCGGAGGAATACTTCCTCTGACCAGCAGTGCCGTAGGGCAACATAGAACCAGCTTCCCGTGTAATCAGGAAGCCGGGCAGCGAGTAATGACCCGACTTCCTGATTGGCCGAGCAGCCGGCTCTTTGGCTGGGAAGCCGGCTTCCCAGCCAATCAGGATGCCGTGAGGCGGGTCATTACTCACCGCCTGGTTTCCTGATTGGCGTGGAAGCCGGCTCTGCTGATTGGCTAGGAAGCCAGTTTCCTGGCCAAACAACATGGAGCTGGCGGGAGCTTTGGGAAGCCAGGCGGCTTTACGGGCATGTTATTACCCACCGCCCGGCGTTCCTGATTGCCCGGGAAGTTTTTTCCCATGCCAGCGGAAGCATCGGTATTGGTGCATCCCTACTAACGTTGATGGAAGTCTGTGCCAAGGATCTGCTACTCTTTTGCTAAAGCAATACATTCTAACGTTACTCCTGAACTTTGACTTGAGTCATGCCCTCGTGTTCTTGAGCGCGGTTTCATATTGAGAAAGTTGCCCTTCTTATGCACACACTTAAAGGGAACTATGTGGTCAGTGTTTTTCCCCATAGTTCTCCTCAGGGTCACGGGAGGACACAAACTAGCATCCTCCCGAGACCCAAAGCTCGGTATATAGGGAGCTACAGCTCGCGGTATACTGAGACTGCCACAGCTGGGACGGGTCCCGACATTACTGTTGAGATGCACCCAGCAGTGTGATTCACAGCTGGCTCAGCCTATCTGGAGGCAGAGCCAGCTGTACCCGCCCCCTCCCCTGTTCATTCCTCCAGTCAGCGATGGGGAAGGGGGGGAATCCCTGCAGGGAGCCGTGAGTGACAATCTCGGCTCTCTGCAGGGACAGGATCGAGAAGTGAGCGAGCGACTGTATGTTTTCGCTCACTTCCCGATCTACTGAGCCCACGTGTGACAGTTTCAATGTCACAGGTCGGCTAGAACTATGAGGCTGAGTGATTTTCACTCGCCTCATAATTCTCCTTTACCTTTGAAAGCATTGGGCAATCCTAGCCTAGGACTGTGTTTTTTGAATTTTGGCAAATCCTTTTTCTGACTTTTCTTAATTTCACTCAAAGTCTTGCCTTTCTTTTTGCTCGTCCTAGGCAGGTTCTTGCAGCTTGATGTTCTCCAACTCTTGGGGAAACTGTAGCTCCAAAGAAACTCACACGTCGGCTCAAACTAGAAGGATGAGTGAAAATCACTCGCTTCATAGTTCTCCTTTTAATCTCTGTAAAGGTATCAATCCTGTTCCTTCTTCCCCAACGTCTCTACATTTTAAGTTCCCCCAATCTCTCCTGATAGGTTTTATTTCTCAGACCTTGCACCATTTTTTTGCCTGGTTTTTGTATCAATTATAGGAGATTGAGACTTATGCAAATGGTTCTTTTAAAACATCAGCAGAATAGGTCAACTTGTATAAATTCATAAAATCTTCTTTTTTTTTTTTTTTTTTTTTTTTTTTTTTT